AACTGCCCTAAAAATCCAGATCATTTGTCTGAACAGTAAATTTGGGGGGTTGGATGTTTGTGGTTTTTTGGTTTTGCTTTTTTTTATCAGCAGTCATGCTAGTAAATATAAATGTTTTAACGAAATTGTCCCATTCCTTGGAATACTGTATGGAAAAAATGAAAAACTAATCTTGGAAACAGTGTATTTTATTGTTTTATTTTCAGTCACTAATAAAACTGTGAATGTCAAAGAGGAGTTTTGCTGAACTCTGATTAGCAAAAATGTGATTTTTAATATGCCTGTTCAGTTTTTATATTAAATTAATCCAAAGACTTCTTGAATAAATTTAAGCTAAGTACAACTTATTATAAACATTCACACTTGTAAATTTTCTTTATGTCTTCCTCTTGATAGACTACTACTGCATAAACTTGAGAGTAAAACTGATTTCAGGCATTTCTGGATATTCCAGTGACGCACTGCGTTTTATAGGTAGTGAAATTCTTGTACGTTGTAGGGGAGAATGTGCAGAAAGTTCAGAGATGCTTATTTTAAAGCAACAGAAGCAACCTGGCATGAATTCCCTTCTAGTGATTTACCCTTGGCAACACCTTACAACTGTCTTCTCAGAAATGAAGGGTGCTTAATTCTTCACTTTCTTCTGTATTCTGCAGGTCCCATAACAACAAACTGCAGTCTACAGCTTCTTAGAGTTCAGCGTGTTAACCTAACACACGAGCAAGAATCTGGTTGTCTGAAAATTTTTAATTAAGAAGCCAGATGTTTTTAGTCAGGTTATCCTGACAAGACTTGATGTAAACTGCGTTTTTATTGGTCGCAACAGTCAAATTATATTGTCGGCTTATTTTGTCCAAAGGACAAAGAAATAAAAATCAGCAGCACCACTTTCTTGTCAAGATCAAATTGTTGTACTATTGTGGCAGAAGCAGGAAAACTTTGGTTTTTTGAAGGAGAGCAAGAAAAAAGATACAGTAAATGGGGTCAAGTTTAACTCCATGGAAATGCCACGTCTGTTCTTCAGTGAAGAAGCTGGTTTAAAGTCCACACAGAAAACTTTGACTGTATTTATTTATTGTTGCAAAAAAGACGCTTTTTTATTGCTGCCCTCATTTGTCAGCTAATTATTTTTTCTTATAAAATCCAGCCCCGGTTACATGTAATCCATTCTGTATCTTAACATGATTCCTGTAGGTAAACGTACAAGAAGACCTCTAGATGTCTTTTCTTTCTATGAAAGGAGCTGCTATGTACACATGTGCACACACACAGAACTGGGAATCAACAATGAGTTTATCATTCATGGTAGATAAAAACAATTAAGCTTGCATAAAAGTTGGGCTAAGTGGTCACGGACTACAGACTCTGTTGCCTTGAATATAACAGTACAATTTGTCATTTACTCTGCACCAGACTGACATGAGTAAAATCTATTTGAAGGTATCTTGTTTGTAAACATTTGTCAGATTCTAATTTTTTTCTTTTGTATTAAAATTCAAAATATGGATGTATATGAAACAAAATAAATGGAGATAATTGTTCTCCCCACACATGTAGGTGTCTGAGTGTGCGCTAATATGTGTGTAACCCCTGGGGGGATCTGTTGAGAAGCATGGATAATTTAAGTAATAAGGAAGGGACCTGGCCAGGGCGATCTGACTTTATTTTCTCCACAGGTAGTATTTACTACTTAAGCAGCTATTGTCTCTTTATAAAATTTCTACAGTGGTGCCAAAATTATTGTAATGGATAATGTGCTAGCAAATATTCTGTGAAATGTCATTGCCTACTGCTGAATTAGGTGATGTTTTGCAAAGTACTCTAAGAATGTAAAGTACCAAGTGTAGTTTTATCTCTGGAAGCTGTTCTGGATGGCCTCGTTATTTCCTGTACGAGGAGCCCTTGCAAGAAGGGTAAACGGAAGTCGACAGATGATGCAGTTTGCAGGTTTTGGCTTTTTTCTTTCTGACGTGTCTCTTTCGCACTGCATATATAAAAGACTGTCATACTAAATGTCTACAGTTAATCGCTGTGGTTTATGCAGCTCTTCAACCACTGGACTAGCTTTTGCACTAATTCACAATTAACTTGTGTTTTACAGTTATCTGGGATTTACCTGATTTATAGATATGCTCCTTTTGGATTTAAACTCCCACCTTGCTATGCAAGAACCTTTCCTGTTAGTTTCTTAAAAAGATACTGCTACTGACCACATTTTCTTACACTTACAGGCTCAGGTGTACTGGTTCTCATGGGATAATTTAATAAACCCCATTTTTTGTACATACGGATGTTGTCATTTAACCTTTATGTGAAAACTAAAAATTGTTTGATGTAAAAATGATCCATTTATGCTTCTTAAAAGTTAGTTGCATTTAGGTTATGTTGTCCTTTGACTTAACAACAAAAAGCTGCATTCCAACATAGCCTGCATATTACCACCTCACAGTATTTCACAATCTTGCTGTACTACTTCATATAAAAGATATGGGGCATCATATAAAAGCTTCTACCTGTAGGCAATAGAGTGCTATGTTTTTAACAAATTGTGGCAAGCTGAAGAGTACTTTTTTGTACCTTATAAGACACATCATCCTTAAACAAATAAAATAGTGTTTGACATTGATTTGATGGAGTTTCTAATGAAACATTTGGTAATGTTAACATCTTGGCATTGGCAGATATGTATAATTGCCTGTGAATCAGTTTGAGTTTACTGAGATGATAACCCACCCACACATACAATTTCATCTTGTAGAGAGTCCTCTTTAGTGTTTTCAATTGCCATATAGTATATGGAGGTATTTTTTTAGCTATATTAGTGGTGGTGTCATATAGTTTTAAGTGGCAGTACTGAAAAAATTCACTCCTGTAATCAATCCATCCCACAAAAGCATGTTGAGTTCTTCAGATTTGTGAACTGCTGTGTTGATCTTTCTATTAGTATTTTTATGAATTATTGCTGTGGTCTTTTCAAAATGGGGATACATTGTAACATAACTTGTGATACTGTGAGCTGAACTAGCTTTCATTTCTTTCTGATTTATCGGATAAATTTGAAGCAATTTTTCTTGGTATCTTTTATACAACAATAAGGATTTAATGTTGTTAAAAAGGGGGTTTACCCAAAAGCCTCGAGTAAAACTGGAAAGCCAGCAAGATAGTATTTGAATTTCTGGGTGCTTCTGTTTATTGGTTGTGTAGAATACTTGAATTTTTTTTTGTGCTGGGGAAAAATACCATTTATGGTAATTTTTAGGTGTCTTATAGCATTTGCATGAAAGAGTTGTCATCTTTCAATTAGGTTAATACTGTGGGCTTTCTTAACAGTGCAGTGCAGGGCTGTGGAAGAGAAATCAACTTGATTCAGGGTTTGGGTATTCCCGCCATCCCCTGGTCCATTAACACGCTGCAGGCCTGGAAAAGGTAAAAATCCAGCAGTGCTTGGGCTCCTGCTTCCTCCATGTTGCAGTCAGGCTGTGAAGCACAGTGGGTTATTCAGCTGCTCTAATAATGTGCTTTAAAAAGTTACCTTCCTTCAAAGAAGGGGAAGGCAGGATCACGGGTAGTGTACAAAGGGGGAAATGGTCTATATTGTTCTTCAAGTTTGTTTCTAAAGGCGTAGCTAAATGAGAGATAGTGCCAAGAACTGACAATCACCTCCTCGTCTGCGCCTTTCACTTGGGCTCTTGATGTGTTTGACTATTAACTCTTCTGAGAGATGATCAAAATGAGCTATAGCTATGAATGTTATTTTTTGTACCTGCAGTTTGCTTGTTCTGCGTTACTTGTGTCCGGGGGAAGTGTTTAATTGCTGTTCTGGACAAAAGGGGACTCTGGGACTGGCTGGTTAGTCCCCAGGCTTCAGCTGGAAATGCCTCCGATTTGCCTGTTCGTACATACGTAACCCTGCTTCCTCCTCCTTCCCTACTGCTTTTCCTCACCAGCAATATTAAGCAGTTATTTTTCTGCACCACTGTCTGTATCTTAAAAGAGTAGCTGACTCCTCAAATATGTAGATGTTTGATCAGATTATCTTTCTGGGTCTTTCAGAACTCAGGGAACAGTGATCCCCCCAAACCAATTAATGTTTCATTAGCTTCTTTTAAAGGCTGTGTTTTGTCTCTTAGAATAAATAATACAATGCCCTTGCAGGGAGACTCTTGCATTCCCGTCACATAAAGGGTACTAAAAGATTGTATTTTAAAAGTAGCTTTACTGATGTGCAAGTACAAAACACTTATCACAGGAAAATTACATTCTGTACACAGTTCTCGAACTGTAGCGTAAGGCACTAACTGTAACCAGGCATACAAAATGTCCACATAATTGCATGCTTATTTTGCATTCCTTGGCATCAGTTTATGCAATTACTTGTGAGCCTAATTGAGTATTTGTGTTATGTAGTTATTTTATTTGGTTTTGGTTAGTGAATTCATATACTTGAATAATTGCATAGCTATTTTGTATACCTTATGTGAAAATTCTATTTGAAAAATGGTGTAAGCTGTATCAGAACTATGGACATGTTTGAGAGAATCAAAATAACAGGAATAATTCTTTTGAATTGAATACGTAGAGTGCTTTAAGCAGAGTTGTGTGAAAATGCAGCTGGCATTCTGTACAGATAAAACCACAGTATTATCTAGCACTTTTCAATATTAAGGCTTTCAGATTTCAGCTTGTTCTTCTGCACCTAGAACAATGTCTCCAGAATTTCACTTTATTACAGATTATTAGGAATACATTACAGCCGAGGAGGCAATAGTAGCCTGTGGTTCTGAAAACAGCTAGAGAAGGTTCCTGACCAGTTAATGTTCTTTATACTTTGTGTGCTGCATTCCTCAATATATAGGGAGGCACCTAGTCAGAACATCCACTTAGTGTCTGCTGAAGCACAAAACAAGCGTCACAACCAGCGCCAGGCTTCAGTGGAACCACTTGCTGTTGCTAAACCGGGTTATCCTGGTGCTCGGGCGCCAAAGGAGGCAGCGGCAGCCTCATCCGCACTCGGCGTGAGCGCCCTGCACTCGGCGGTTCCTCCTGCTGTTGAATCTCCCCACGTAGCTGCTGCTGCTCCGGAGCAGCCCGTCGCCGGGGCGCAGGCGCCCGCGCAGCAGGCGCAGCAGCCGCGGGGGCAGCTGCCGTCGCTTGTGGTAGACGCGGCCCATCACGATGTACCTGCTGCCTGCAAAACACACGCGTGCTCCGGAGAAAGCTTGGGTGCGTTCCCCGCGGCTCCCGCGCCCACGGCCACGGACGGACGAGCAGCGGACACGGAGTACACCCTGCAGCCAAACAGACACCCCGCACCTGGCACCGCGAACCTTACTGGGCTTTGGGGGCAATACTTGCACTGGAATAATGATTTACATGTTGTACTGCACCTGGAAGCTTCTGGTGAAAAGCTGCTATTTGATAACATAATTTGATAACATTTGATACCTAGGAAACTAGACCAGTTCCAAAAAAGGGGCCTTAAGCTCTTGCTTAAATTTATTTTTAGCCATCATGAAGATTCATGTAATCATTTTGAAACTGGATAAAGAAAGGACTATTGTTGCATGCTTTCTTCATGCACTTGGGCCTCTCTTGCAAGTTTAAAGGAAGGTGGAGCCAAAAAAATCCACTTTAACAGTAAATGAAGCAGTAAATTTCTTTTCAAAGTATCATGGGAACCTAAGATGAGACTATTAAATTAGTGCAAACTAAAACTGGCACTGCACGCAGGAGGAGGAGTGGAATGGAGTGAGCTGGGTTTGTTTACCAAGTTTAAAGTCTGGGCATGGTTTACTGCAGTTTAAAGTATCCACGACTAGAATGTGAACCCGGAAGAAGAAACCATCGGGAGTGATGTACAGGCGACTCATCTTGTATAATCCATCGCTGTTTACCAAAAGAGTAATCAAATGGACTCCATGCCCCAGTCTTTCCATGTTATAAACAATTCCATTCACTGCTGTTTTAAGGAAGAAAAAAAAGAAGGAAAAAAAAAGTCAGGTTATGTATGTGGGTGACAATTGAAGGTGTGTATATATATATATGAGGACTTTCATTTAAAATCCTGTTAAGTAAATGTCAGCACAATTTTTTTCAGCCCAGTAATGGACACTCTTGGAAATAGGGGTTGCTTCAAATAATCACACTTGAGGAGGTCATCACCTTAGCATTGGCTGAGTTACTGTAGTGCTAAAGGTCTGAGATATATATATATATGTATTTATAAAGTTTATAAAATGTTTCAAACTGAACTGCTGAGGGTTGTTCAGCAAGCAGATCTAATGCCAGTTTTAGGCAAAGAGAATATTCTTACCTGTGTAACACGACTGCAGGTTTCAGTGCCTCTGGTTAACTTGGCACTTGCCAGACCCAGCAATGGGGCGCAGAGCATTAAGTGCCTGACAGCAGAACATGGTTTGTTCAGTGCCCTGGCTGCTTGGTGTGACAAGTGCCTTTTCTTTTGAAGCTGAAATACTCTCTAAGGAGGTTAGCTGTAGGCTCCCCTGGGATATCTTAATTTTGAATTTTTTCCTTTGTCATTTAATCTTTAATATGTACTGCAAATGTAGAGAAATGAAATGTTGTCTTTGATCATTGCAATGAATCTTTGGCTGATTTGTTTTTCTCAGACTGGTGCTTTTTTTTTTAGCCTGGG